ATATATATATATATATATATATATATATATATATATATATATATATATATATATATATATATATATATATATATATATATATATATATATATATATATATATATATATATATATATATATATATATATATATATATATATATATATATATATATATATATATATATATATATATATATATATAGACACACTCCGAACACCGCATAACTTCCATTCAAACATATCAGTCCTCTATTATTTTCCCCCTCTCCATACAAATAATTTCTATCACCTTTTATTATTCTAAACACAACTAAATAAATTCACCGGTGAATTATATTATTATTTTTTTTCAAAAAAAATGTTACACCCCGATCAAGAAGATAATTGTGTTGATGGCCGCTCATCTAATAAAAAAGCCCAACAACAATTCTCACTTCAGCTTCCCAGTTTTTCTATCCTTCATACTTCATCCCACCCCGTCACCCTCCAGGTATTTATGTTTAAGTGTTTTTTAGTGAAATGACTTAAGTTTTAGTGCTATTTTGTGCAAATATTTTTCTATATATATTATTAACTCTCATGCCACATTTTCATAACAAAATATAGTACTCGAATATTTTATTATTCACTTTTCATTTAGTCAAATTAATCAAGCTTTTTTTATTATATGTATTGACGCAAATTTTATGGTGGACCTTAGGTCCACCATGGACTCACATATGAACAAAATAAACATTTTTATTATTTAAATAATTGTATGTTTTTTTAATTAAAAAAAGATTTTTTATGTAAGAATGTTCACCAAAATGGTATGCACCCAACGTACACCAAAGAAGTACTCATATATTGACATTAATTGACCTTTCTTCCACCCGCTATAAATCCTCCAAAATGTTTTTTTGCAAGTCCACGAAAGATATTTTCATTATCTTTTTAATATTTAAAACGTACATCTATTTTATTTATTATACATTACCAATCTCATTCGATATACTTCAATCACTTTCATTAAAGCTATTTTATTTAATAAATTTTCATAGTATATTTCTTCAATCCTTTTTAGAATTACATGTGATGCTATTTAAAAAAAATCATTATGTTTTAGTGTCCTTTTTAAAAACTATAAAAATTACTTAAAAAGGATTCATGACAAAAGGAAAGAATAAAAAATATGAAATGTCTTTTTTTTACAAAATGAAATGCCTTATTTTAATACATTAAAATTTGGTCTTTATTTGTAAATTGTTGCAGTTTGAGGACGTGACGTATTCTTTGAAGATAGAGAGCAATGAGGGGAACCAAACGCGAATCTTGCTTAACGGCGTCAGCGGGACCGTTAACCCCGGCGAGCTGCTGGCAATGCTGGGCCCGTCCGGGAGCGGGAAGACCACTCTCCTGACGGCGCTCGGCGGGAGGTTGCCGGGAAAACTCTCCGGCACCGTGACGTACAACGGGCAGCCGCTGTCGTGCCCGATGAAACGGAGGATCGGATTCGTGACCCAAGACGACGTTCTGTACCCTCACCTGACGGTCAAAGAGACGCTGACCTACGCCGCTCTGCTGCGGCTGCCGGAGAATCTGACAAAAGCAGAGAAAACAGAGCAGGCGGAGCTGGTGATGGTGGAGCTCGGCCTGACGAGGTGCCGGAACAGCGTGATCGGCGGCGCTCTCCTCCGGGGAATCTCCGGCGGAGAGAGGAAAAGGGTGAGCATCGGGCAAGAAATGCTGGTGAATCCGAGCCTGCTGCTCCTGGACGAGCCGACGTCGGGGCTGGACTCCACGACGGCTCTGCGGATGGTGGGGACGCTGCGGTGGGTGGCGAGGGGCGGGCGGACGGTGGTGACGACGATCCACCAGCCGTCGAGCCGGCTGTTTCGGATGTTCGATAAGGTGGTGGTGCTGTGCGACGGATGTCCGATTTACAGCGGGAGGGGAAGATCCGAAGTGATGGAGTATTTCGGGTCGATTGGGTATGTTCCCGGGTTTAGCTTAATGAATCCGGCTGACTTTCTCCTTGATCTTGCCAATGGTATGAATCATTCTTTTCACTTCTTACTCCATACATTTATCCCATTAAATATTTAATTATAGTTCAAATGTTGAAAACAATTGACAGAAAAAAAGTCAAAACTGGACAAATACTTAGAGACGGAGGTAGTACTAAATAGCACTAAAAGTTAAATCATTTCCTTGGATAATGACTAAAAGTGTTACATTTGGAAAAACACATATGATACTATTTAGGGAAAGTCATTATGTTTTAGTTGAATAATGACTAAAAGTCTTACATTTGAAAAAACACATATGATACTATTTAGGGAAAATCATTATGTTTTAGTGTTATTTAAGTAAATTCCTCTCATGAATTGGGTGTATTTCACAAGGTCAAGTGTCCACATTTTATTTACAAGATAAAGATATAATAACCGAACAAAATTTTGATCTCAAATCAACTAAATTTATTGGTGGGGATGAGTTAGAATTGAGACTAGGTATGAGTTTAGGGCATCTCCAACCATACTAAAATGGTTTGCTGTATGTTACCATTTGACAAGCCATGCAAAAATTCATGCTCCGGAGGCTTGTCAATTTTTGAGAAGCTTACTAATTACAACAACAATAACAACAATCCAGTTGAATCTCACTACACTAGGGTCTGGGGAGGCTTGTTAACATTTGAGAAGCTTACTAATTAAAAAATAAAAATGACTTGCTAATAATAACAAGCTTGGGGCGGTGTTCCCACGCAACAAGGGTTGAATTAGGACATGAGGCGATCAAGTGTTATTTGGAAATTGGAATTAGGACTCAATTCAAAAAAATGATGAACCACATCTTCAAAGGTCCAACAATTCCGACCAGATATAATTAAAAATGATTTAATGATTTTAGTGTCATTGGCTATTTTGTATGATTGGATTTACTTAGATCAGATGAAAATTTGAATAGATGTTGTCAAAGAAGTTAAGAGGTGCGAAGTGCGCACTTGTTCCACGATATTATGAATTCATAGCAGGGTTCCGGTTGTGGCAGCCCCCGATAGGGGGGTCCAAGGGGCAAAGCTTTACGAATTTGAGCTTGAAATTTTTTTATTTTGGACATTATTGCTTTATGAAAATCTTTCAGATTTTCGTGAGCAGAGTCCAAAACCTAAAAGATTCGGGCGTACGGATAAACGTAAAGATTGACCCAAAAACCAAAAGTAAATTTGCGCGGACGTTTGCGTCCTTAAGCAAACATTCGGTTCTGTCCCTGTCGCGCGAACGTTTAAATCTTACGCGAACAATCATATCTGATCATGTATTTTTCATCTCTATAATTAGAGACTCACATGTGTATTTGAGATATGATTTTCGAAGCTTGTTCTTGATTAATGCTTATCTGATTAAAATATTTTGACATACCCCGAAAAAAATTTGATATGTAAGTATTTTTGAGATTCTTTAAACTGTCAAGTAATTCATTCCGTCAACGCTGCCAAGCAGCGTTGATCCTCCAATCATATTTCTAACAGAAAGCTCCCAACAATAAGCAATAGAATAAAGAGAGATTTGAATTACTCTCTCCGTCCTAAAATTAACTTCTCATTTTGACTTTTGTAGTCAACCTTTTTAAACTTTGACCGTATATTACAAAAAAAATACATTGAATTTTCATATAAAGTTGTTAGCAATAGATTCATTTTGAAATATATAATTTTTATAAAATATATTTATATAAAAATTGAGATATTGATGGTCAAAATGTCGCATTAGAGACTGTAAAAAGTCAAATGGAAAGTTAATTTTAGAACCAAAAGAGTACTAGACCATCAATAATCTATCATCATGTAGGGCTGGCCCGGGTAGTAAGAGCCTGCCCAGATGGCCATTGATTTTCACTACTTTTGGGCTCCCATTTAGCTCTTGCTTGTTTGAGTTGTTTCATCCGCCTTTTTGTGTGCGTGGGAATGACAAATGACAAGGCTAAATTTTTTGAGACAAAAAAAAAGAATTAATAATAATAATAACAGCAACATTTATGATAATAGTAATAATAATAATAATAATAATAATAATAATAATAATAATAATAATAAATATGATGTGTGAAAGAAAACAAACCCAACGAAAAATTGATGTTTGTGGTTAGATGTCAGGAAAAAAATTATTTTTTATCCTACATGTCTTTTTACGTGCATACAAAATTTATTTACTCGAATCATGCGCATACATGAATATTAAATCTTTTATAATGAGTGACATTGAACTTAATTTGAGCGCGTGACTTCTTGTAAACAAAGTTTTGATAATATTTCAAGGAACTTATTGAGTCAATTAAAAATTCAAGCCATATTGTTGATTATGATAGTGTTTCTCTATGCCCGTGCTTATGGGCTTAATGCTGATGAACAGTTTTTAACTTATAATCCGCTTATAAATTAGATATTCATTCATGAAAGTAAAACAATTCCAAGATAAATGATAGATAAGACATTTGGGAATATTCGTAGATGGTGAGGGACACTTTTGTAAATAATCTCATCAAAATAAAAAAAACTAACATAAAAATAAATATGTAAGACATACTTACTTGCTCTGGCTTATAAACAGCTTATAAGCGCTAAGGATAAATCAGTTTATAAATATAGAAAAGCATGTTACTAGCTAACTTATATGGAGTAGTTTAAAAACAATTTATAAGCATAGAAAATTTTCATTATATATTCAGTAAAGATTTTACCATATAATATGCATATAATGTGTGTCCCTGTCATGCTTTAACTTGACTCTTTCACTCAAAGATTATTGTGGCCACGTATTTAACATTTGATGCATGTTCAACAAAAGTTTAATTGACTGCTTTTTTAAATTTTGAAAACCCTTTTACTTTTTGTCTCTAGTCCCATATTTAATTGGTGAAACATATGGGCCTATGTAAGATTACAAATAATAAATAATGTTTGCATTTCTCTTGTAACCTCTTTGTGTGATCTCACTAAAATTTCACTATCTACCAATTAAAGTGACACATTTTGCAAAGTTGGTGGTCTCCTTTACAGCTATAGTTTTCATTACATATATACATGCAACCAAAATGACAAATATTGGAAAAATCAAACAAAATATCTTTTTGTTTTTCTATGTTTCATAGTTCTAGAACCACTCAAAGTGAATGGCTCTAGAGAACACTGATTTAATTGGGACACCTACACTGTTCCTTTCGTAAAATTAATAGTTCCTACCTAACTATATTCCTTCGATAAACTCCCCACTCAGTCACGACCCCAACTCATCTCCCCACCCACTGCACGTCAATTACAGAGTGCAAGAAAGACTCTTATGTAAAATGACTATTTTATTGTATCAAATCATTAACCAAAATATGTAAAGTGAAACATCATTTGATTCTCTAAATAGAAATATAGAATCCCTAATAATTTTGGGAGTTATATGTGTGTGTGTGTGTGTGTGTGTGTATGAACAGGTATAGCCCCAGATACAAGGCAGGAAGAAGGGCATGAATTTGATGGAGTATGTGATATTAATGGTGATGATCAAGCTTCCATCAAACACTTCTTGATTTCATCCTACACCAAGACTTTCAATGCCACGAATAAGAATGCAGATATGGAGAAAGGCCTCCTCTTTCAACCAAATTTGCTCCCATCAAAACGTAAAAATCTTTGACGAGCCTACAATCACAAGTTTGATCTTTTAGTTGAATTGGTTCTTTAACCGAATTCAATATCAAATGTATGTGTTTATATACATATAGGGTGTGATGATGAAGAGCAATTGTGGACAAGTTGGTGGCTGCAATTCACAGTTTTGTTGAGCAGGGGACTAAAAGAAAGAAGACATGAGTCCTTCTCCGGTCTGAGGATTTGCCAAGTCATGTCTGTCGCGTTTCTAGCCGGCCTTCTATGGTGGCACTCCAACACTAATCACATTCAAGATCAGGTCTTTGCTGACACCATACTATCATCATTCACATTGCTATATCGTCAACACTCTCACCAATCACACTGTCAAATTTTTATTTAGAGGATAAAAACAATGACACTTCTATTTTGATACTTTGGTGATGATATTTTACTCTTGTCCAGGAAGTTTCTTTTTATTTAAGTCGGTAACCATAACCATGAGTTTTTTGTTTAGATGGTTGCTTGACATTGTATCAAAGTCTTGTTGATATAGATGTAATCTTTTGACAGGTGGGATTGTTGTTTTTCTATTCAATCTTCTGGGGGTTCTTCCCCATGTTCAATGCCGTGTTTGCATTTCCACAAGAACACTCAATGCTGAAGCGCGAGCGCTCCTCCAGGATGTACCGTCTCTCCGCCTACTACTTCGCACGAACTGTCGGTGATCTGCCAATGGAACTCGCGCTTCCGACTGTTTTTGTGACCATAACATATTGGATGGGAGGCCTAAGGCCATCACCCATCACATTCCTAGCAACCCTCTCCATTGTCCTCTTCATCGTGCTCGTCTCCCAGAGCCTAGGCCTAGCCCTCGGTGCGCTGGTGATGGATGTGAAGCGCGCCGGGACCCTGTCGTCGGTCACCATGATGGTGTTTTTGCTGGTTGGTGGGTATTATATTCAGAACATGCCTCACTTCATGGTGTGGGTGAAGTACATTTCATTCACTCATTACTCTTACAGACTTCTGGTGGGAGTTCAGTATGGGGAGGATGACGTTTATGTGTGTGGGGATGGAGGAGGACGAGAATGCAGGGTCAGGGATTTTGCAGGGATTAAGTGCCTTGGCGGCATTGGGAACTTGACGGTGGATGTGGCGGCATTGGCCGCCATGTTTGTTGCGTATCGGATGGTGGCTTATGTTGCACTGAGGATTCGTTGAAGATCCTTATAACTTTTTTTATACAATAAAGAATAGATGAATGTAGACATACATTATGTCTATATTCATTTATTTTTCATTGTAACAAAAAAATCTTAAAGGTACTTAAAAAGAAATCAAGGGAGTACTTCATATATATGCTCCTCTTTCCTTTGATGCCCCTGGGATGTTATAATATGACACTCAATTCATCTTATCAGGATCCTATGGTATTTCAATTCATCTGCTTTGAAATACTTTTTACCTCTTGAATCTCCCACAAAAAACACTATAAATCTTTCTTCCTCATTTCCTCAATATGCTACAATGAACACGTCCACGAAACTAAGGGCTAGCTTAGAGTGCTTGTTGAAGGAAGTATAATAGGATATGAAGTACTTCACGGTCAAAAGGAACATTGTACTATTGTAGGCTTTTCAAATGAGTCATTGTTATATTATGATATCAGACGTGAAAAGACAGTCTCTAGAAAATAATTACTCCGATCCGCATTAAGTACAATATTGATAAAGTTACAGTTTCTTTTGTATCGTATGTATTCGCCACCTGAAAATTGAAATGTAAATAATTCTATGTTTATCTTGCTATTATACAATCCATATTACATGTGTGGGGAATCCTTAATTACTTCAACTTTAGTTCTAACTTGTAGTTGCAAGCACACGTAAGTTATTGTATTTTTGATATATATCATGTCAAAAAATTAACTCAACAAAAAATTCAAACTCCTGTAAGAACAATTACTATTCCGTATTTTCTAAGATATATAAGAAGTGTACATTTTAAAGAAAAAAATAGGTGTAAAAAAATCTTGGGCATATATTAGATCCTCAAATAATGGCTGAAAATTAAAGTAAATGGCATGGGATCAGATGCCGTGGCTTTTGAAGGCTAGCCATGGTTCTATTCAGTGTGTCTTCCATTTTGATTCCCACTTGCCACATAATTATTATAAATATGGGTTTTCAAAGAGTAGCTGAATTAAAGAGAACCAGTATTTGTTTTCTTTCTTAATTATCTGGTTAAGGAGGAGAAGAAGAAAGAGTTGATTAATTAGCTAGTATTAATCAGATTAGATTAAACAAAAAAAAAATGGCATCCATAAAAGTTGAGAAATCAAACCCAGCTGCACCTACCGCCGCCAAGAAGGAGGCCGCTGCCACCAAAGCTCCGCCACCCAAAGCCTCCACCACCAAACCGGCGCCGCCCCCCAAGAAGGCTCGGGAGCCTAGGAGGAAGGTATATGAAAGAAAGTACATTTGCTTATCGTCTTCGGAACGGTTCCCGTGACACTCGACGGGGTTCGGTGTTACCCGATTGATGACACTGGACACTGTTCCGTTTGCGAAATTAATCGTTCCCACCCCTAACAAAATATGACGACTTTCAAATTTTGTTATTGTAAAATACTTTAAATTTTGGATTATTTGCGATAATTTTTCTTAATTTGTATCACTAGGAATACTAATTATTTTCTATTTGCGCTTGCAGGGCACAGGTGGCAACAAGTCATCATCTTCAAGTAAATGAGGATTTGAGAAGCATATATTTATGCTTGAATGAACAAATAATTGTTCGTTGGAAGCTTTCATTAATTAATTAATTAATACTTAAAGTGTGAAATGTATTAGGCAGACATGAGACCTCAATAACATGGCTGCTGGTTTTAATTAATTATTATATATTGTGTGTATTTGAGTACATTTCATAAATAATCTTTTCTTTTTTTATTTTATTCTAACTTGCAAATTAAACTAATATTTCTATTGTGGTGTGACGTTTTTGTTTAAATTCCGATGGGTCGAAAACAACGGATAGAGTGTCGGGTAAAGTTAACCACTTGCATATAAAATCATCCATTATTCTAACCCTTGCTTAAGCCGATAAGTTAGACTTTACCCTTTTATATATGCTAGTAGTATTCATCTTTATTTTCTGATGTAAGAACTCCAACACTCTCCTCAAGTGCTAACTAGTCTGACCTAGTTAATACTTGGACAAACGGGTCTAGTATCTCAATTTCTTATAGCTAGCTCACACAACGGGCAATGACATCTCAATATCATTTAGTCAACTCAACCCAAGCCACGGACAAGTAGCTCACTTTGCTAAACCCACGTCCAAACAACTAGAAGCAATCGAACTCGGACTGGACCTACTCCGATACCATGTTAAAACTCCGGCAGGCCGAGAACAACGAGTAAAGTGTCGGGTAAAATTAACCACTTGCATATAAAATCAGGATCCCCTATTTTAACCTAAAAGCTTAATCTTTTGGGTTAGAGTAGTGGGTCCCGATTTATATGCAACTGAATAATTTTACCTGAAACGGTACCCGTTGTTCTAGACCCACTGGAATTATAACATGGTATAAGAAAATGAGGAACCATTGCATGTTGTGTGGCTACCTATAAGGATTGAAATACTAGACCCGTCTGATCAAGTGATAACTAGACAAAACTAGTTTCTACTTAAGAGAATGTTAAAGTTTCCACATTGAAAAATAAAGATGAAAATCACTAGCATATTTAGATAAAGGCATAAACGGACCAAATGGTCATTTTTGGTCAAATTAATAAAGAGGCCCATTAACGATTTTAGCATTAAGAAATGAAATAATTAGATGTTTATTCTCCTGAGTGAGGCGAACAAATCGGTATATTATACCCAAAAAATAATTAACAGGTTAACAAGTAATTTAGAAAATTGGGATTCAAAGTTTAATCGTTGAGTAGAAGAAATTGTTGGAATATGAGTTAGTGACTTTTGTGCAACGAAAAAGAAAAGATTGAATTATTTATGTCTATTTTGGGAAATGGGTTAGTGACACGAAATTAAAAAAAACAAAAAATTGTATTATTTTCGTTGACATAAAAAAATAAGAAAAAATGATAATGAACATAAGTCATACTCGGGGTACAAATATTAGGGTACTAAATAGAATTTGATAAAAGAAAATGTGACAGAAAAAACTTAAAAAGAGAAAATTTGAAAATTGGTTAAACTGGTAGTCGAAACTGTATAGGGTGATTTGTCAAGAACAAGTATGGATTGATATGAATTTCGAACTGTTGTTTTTCGATCAAGGATCAACGGAATTTATCGAGCCGCGGAAGGAAAGAAAGGCTGCGATCGCGTCTGCCATCTAAAATGTGCGTCTCCTCGAGCAAATTTGAAGAAATGGGCTTTGGATGCTCGGAAAATTTTCCTTTAAGAAAAATTCATAAATTAAAAATTCATAAATGAATTTTTAATATAGCACTTTGCCAAAATAAAAAAAATGAGCTAACCTTAGACCGAGCTAGGGGTTCTACCCTTTGGACCCCGCAGGGGCTGCCGCCCCTTAAACCGTACTCGGGGGCACTGCCTTCTTAAAATTCTCTTTAAAATGAGACTTTTATCATAACAAACTCAACAAAGTGTGCACTCCGCACCACCAAACTTTTTTGGTGACTAATATTATATCATTGGTTAAATAGTTTTTTCAATCATACTAAAATATATAACAGAAAATGTGACATAGAAAAAAACTAAAAAGAGAAAAAATTTGAAAGATGGGTCAAGTGGTAGCCGAACCTGTGTAGGGTGATTTGGGTCAGGTCAGTTTGGGCCACTTGATCTCTCTCGAAGCCCGTACTATGGAAGCCCGTGGTCTAGATCCAATTGTACCCATCAATTAGTACTCCCTATTTCAATTTTCTATAGCCCGTACTCCGTAAATGTATACTCGTAAGATTATTTGTATTTACTCAAGCAGTATTCAAATATTCAAACTTTATGTACTTTGTTTGCTCATTTTTTTATATAAAAAATAGTCGAGTTATCTTTTATAGTTTTGATCTTCTTATATAATTTTTTAATACATAATCCATACTATTAAATTTTTATACCTAAAATAAAATAGATTTAATTGAAAGTTGGTCAAATCTCGTATACTGAAATGAGCAACTCAAGCGGTTAGATGCAAGCGGGAAACTTAATATACAAACATTAAAAAAATTAAATGCCCTAAAATATATAGAGTAATAATGTACGGAGTAAAAACATGTTTTTTCTAGTTTACTCTTATTATTATTTATTTGTTCATACTCCGTATTAAAACAAAGTAAGACCATACCAGATTAGAAATAAATTTAAATATAATTCAAAGTAGTTAAGTTTAAGTAGGTCAGATTGATAATATTTAGGATGTGGTAAGTATAACTGGATTGGGTCATAAAACAACTAGGCCGAAACACATTAAAAGATTGAATTCAATTGATTACTTAGTTCAACTCAAGAGCTTATATATCGATTACTTTTCTATTCAACTTCCGATGTGAGATAGACTCATAGACTCTAACACTCCTCTCAAGAGATGAGGACGACTGAGTCATTTTGAATCTAACCGATTGACCACTTGTAAATGGACTCCCACCCCCTCATTTTTTAGCACCAACACCTAAAAGATCACGAGCCATTGGGTATAGACTTCTAGAGGAACAACCAGGTTAAATAGGTCACATGCCGCTGGATATACATTTCAAACGGACAACTGATCCAAAGATTGGGGCCGCTATAAATGAAAGTCTAAACGGATACTTTAACAAACGAGGTGGGCTAAAACTGGCTTTGATACCATGATGATATTTAGAATGGGGTACGGATGACTGAATTGAGTCATAAGACACTTAGGCTGAACCACATTAAAAGGTTGAATCCAATCGATTACTTAGTTCAACTCAAAAGCTTATATATTAATTACTTTTTTATTCAACTTCTGATGTGGGATAGACTCTAACACATATCAATTCAAACATTAATAACTACTTCATCCGTCCCTAAATAAACTTCCCCTTTTGTTTTTTCTTTGTCCCCAAATAAATTTCTCTTTTCCCTTAAAAAACCCCTTTTATCCCTTATTTTTTCATATCCTATCTATCACATCATACCTTTTTACTAATAATCTACATATCGCATCTTACTTTTACACATCACATTAAAGGTATTTTTGAAAAGTCAACACAAAAATATCCCTCTCTTAAATTCTCAAAAAGTCAAAAAAGAAAGTTTATTTAACGTAGTACATTTGCTAGCTAGCTGCTAGTTCACTTAACAAAATATTTACAAATTAATTAGGTCAACTTAACAAATTAACCATGATTGATGATCCTATATCGTTAAATCTGGATCTGATAATCTTCACTTTTTTGCCTAATTGGTAGCACTATTTAGGGACCGCTCTATTTTAATCCTCCCATTTTTTTCACATGGTTTAATTTGGGAAGATGAAACTGTTGTTAATATTAACATTTTAAATAATACTCCGTAAGTTTTTTGTAGTGTAGGTTGACTTTAAAAATAAAAATATTAAAAGTTACTCTTAAATAACATTTTTAAGATGATAAAACTCAAAAGGGTACGCACTTGAAATCTTAAATGGCTAAATCACCTCAATGAAATAAATATTTAATTTAATATTATCATTTAATTCATCATTTCATATTAATTGTCCATTACTCTGTAATACTTTCTTGATAAATCTA